AAACGATGGCCCTGTAATTTCTGTTGTTTATCGAAGTCTACCAGTTTTCACCCAGATTGCCAACCAGAGTCAGGTTAAATGAGAAACTAATGATCTATGAGTCGAACATTATTGCAACATTGAAGCATTTATATGTCGATCCTTCTTGAGCATGTCTTCTCGCATAAAATATTACTTCATAGTCGGATTTTTGCAACCTTCTCTATTACTAATAGCACTAGAGTTTGCTGAAAATTATCCTAGTTATGCTCTCACATTGATAATTCTAATTGAACGAAACAACATTTTTAACTATATTTTCTAGCTCGAGATGTTGTTGCCTAATTAGTATTAATTTTTCCCATAAGGATTTATAGAAAATCCGGAATAAATAGTACAAGCTTTAGAAAGCTTACTCTTGATAGGATGAAATTACTAATGGCAGATGAAAATATCATTGCACAGCTCATATTTTTATTGTAGTTTTATCGAAGTCGGCTACTCTTTTCAGATAATATGGTCAATTTTTATGGCTATCGGGATCACTGAATATTTCAGTAATTACTTATCAAGAAACTCGAGAAAAATGCAGTTTCATGTCAAAAATTCAATTCAATTGTTTTATGAAATCTCATTGTGCACGTTTACACAAAGTCTCTTTGTCTCCTCAGTTGACCCATGTAGAATTACGACTAAGGTCATATACTAGGATAACTCATAGACCTACTTGTCTTTGTCTGACCCTTCATTTCATGACTACTAGCAAAATCTTCTCACGAGTTGACTCCAATGACAATCATCCAGTGTTTATCTCTGAGAAGGGTGTGATTGCAGTATGTTATAGGAACAACAGAAAGAAGTAACTGTAACTATTGCATTCTATTGGTAAAGTTCTTTTTTTCTGATGCTAGAGGCAATCTATGCTCAAATTTATTTTTCTACATTGATTAAGTGAGATGGCAATAGAGTTTCTGTCTAACCATGTGCAGTTGCCCTTCTACAAGGTAAGAGAAGTTTGCTCCAAGAAATAAAATTTTATTACTTTCTAGCTTGATAAGTTCGCCCACAAATTTGTTGTAGTTTTTCATGGTGTGGGTTTGCAATAAACTCATTTAGGAATGTTCAAAATCAGATTCATATCCCAGGTCATCAATCGACATCTTCAGAAAGATATCCATCCACTAAATACTCAATAACCCGAACATATGTCTTCACCAGCACTTAGTCCCTGATCCCAACCCAAAACATATACTCCTACTCAAACTCGACAGACGTCCATGCCCGTAAGGAATGTCCACTTGCCTTTACCCACGCCCACACTAGTGTCAGTTGGATTGGTCCTGGATTCAACTCCCGTAAGCTACGGGTCAGAAATTTTTACTCCAACTGGGTTTTTGCCGGGGCACAACATTTTTGAAAACAGCATGCTTTATGGGCGGTAAACATTTGTAGAATGAAATGATCACTGAATGCAGAAAACTAAAAAGATGGGTCTCTGATCTTCAGGGCGGGCTATTTAACTCTGAGTAGGCAATTATATTGATAATGCGACAGTACCGTTCGCAGTATCCGAACATTTTTGACCCAACTGAGTCAAAGATACATTCACTTACACTTACACTCGTTACAGTGAAACGATGAATCTTTAGTTGCTATGTTTATGTTATCGCCATTCTTCGAAGACAAAAGCACTACTATGGATGCTGACTTAGTATCAATATTTGAAAAACGCTACCACTTTTGCATTAGAATAAAGAAAATAATGTAATGCTTTTGTATTAGCATTAAAAAAATAATTTATTGCTTTGATATTTGCATTTGAATTAAAGTTACATAGCATTAAATTTCCATTATTTAACAAATTTTTTGCAAGCATTAGTATCAAATAAGGATATTTCAATAAGAATACTAATTCAAAACTAATATCAAAGTCTTAAATTAATTTTTTAATACAAACACAAAAGGATAAAATTATTTTCTCAGTTCTAATTAAAAAAAATATGAAAATTAACAATTAGTTAATGCAATCCTCATCCTAAGCAAACACCACTAAGTACTACTTAAGATTCCATGCAACATTATCGATATAGTTTTGAGTCTGAAAGAGACAGAGATCAATAAATACGAAGGTTTGGATATCGTCGCTGTTGAATCCAAGATGACGCTTTTTCACCAACAATATTATTAATTCATTTTCATCGACCTTTGCCAGAATTCCGGAGCTGAATAGAGATGAGAGTGTGGAACCAGAGTGACTGGATAAATGTCACACACCCCAAATATTCACACTGTTCGCAGCTTGCAAGTCATCAGAATTCTGCAGAAGATACGAAAAAGTGTACCATTTTGATATTCATTTTTGAAAAATAACTATTTTAGTGACATCCACAAAAACAACTCTTACAACAACGACTGTCAGCTCAACAAGTGAAAGACCTGTTATTTTTGTCCAACAAGATTATATTGGAATTCTTTAGGTACTACTACATCAACGTTGACTTCGACAACATCATCGTCGACATCAACAACATCCAAATCGACGACCTCGACCTCGACATCGACATCGACAACATCAACGTCAACATCGACAACATCGACATCGACAACATCAACATCGACGACATCGACATCGACATCGACTTCAACGACAACAAGTAATTGAAATTACATAAACTAGTGAAGTTAAGCTATGAGGTGGGAGATGCCTTTATCCTTACACTTTCACACCATAAAACCCTTGTTTAGAACAAACAAATGTAACTGATGACATGACAAAAAGAAAATAAGTTATGTTAGCAAGTTTCTGTGAAAGTTGAGTCTAGGAGCAAATTTTTACTGTTAAGATAATACTGCCTCGATTCGCAATGTATTTATCGTGTAACTATTTAATTATTTTCTTTCTAACCTTCGGTAGATAATTTAGCTGAAGGAGAATGAAAAAAAGTGAGGTGATGTTAGTGCTGGATGCGCACGAGCGCAAGTGACTCAGCGGGCAATGTTTTGAATGTAATCTGAACTTCCCACAATCAGTATTGGAGAAGGCATCATATTAAAATCAAAAATGCTAAACTTTTAACCGTGCTGCACACATGTTTTGAAATAAATAAATAATAGTAACTCTTACATTTGGGCAAGACGTTTTCAATCGACCTCATACGAAAGATGTCTGCCGGAAGACAGATGCTTTTCTCTGCGCATGTTATCGTTTGAATTAGAGGTTTATAAAAGAATTCGTGATTTGTTAATTGAGTTTCCACATTCTCCTCCTTCGAATGTTGAAAATTGCAGAACTTCACTTCATTGATACAACAAAAATCAAAAAAATCTACCTCACTTAATGATGATTATGTTTCTCTTAGCAACCAACGTCTCATATGTTTGGGATTCGACGGGTACGACCGTGGTTACGAATCCATCCAGTCAGCCAAGTGCGTTGGTAGTTGATTCGTCCAATGTACTCTATGTTGTTGAGAGTGCGCAAAATCGGGTTCAAAAATATTTCTTCGGGGCATCGAGCAACAGTACAACAGTAGCTGGTCAGATGAATGGTGCATCGGGTAATACATCTGATTTTTTAAATAGTCCTAGTGATGTAGCTGTAGATTCAAGTGGCAATGTCTATGTGCTAGACAAATTGAATAATCGTGTTCAACTTTGGAATAGCGGTGTATCGAACGGCACAACTGTTGCAGGCTTCAGTAAGATATATAGGGCGGCTTTCGAAATCATTCAGAAGAATATGTCTTTCAATGTATTTCCCAGCTACACAGAAAAAGAGGAAGATATTGCTGAGTGGGCAAGGACAGCGGTCTTTACGTCATTATAACTTACCAGTCAGCATCGCCCTGCTGGAAATATTGAGAATTGCGATTCATTTTTTGTCAAACCAGCATATGATTGTGGTTACCTCTGCGGGTAGTGTGGCTGTGAAACTTTGCTTCATCCAAGCCGAGGCACCATCCATATGCACATGTATCCCTTAGAGCTCGCACATCTTTAAGTTGAACCATAGTATAATACAAAATATTAGGTCATTTGGATTTGTCTGTGTAGCGTGTGCATCTAAGCTTTTTTGAAATCCATATGTACCGTTAAGAAAAAATATGTATTCGGTATTTTAACATTATCTCCCCATTACTTTAATCGTTCGAGTAATGTCATATTTCAAAATATAGAAGCCTTGCTCACGCGTCAAATAATGCTATTCCACCGATACTAGCATACTTTATAGAAAGACTACGGATGCAGAACACCTCAAAAATATGGAAACAGACTTTGTCGAAAACTGCGGCATTTTGGAACTTTTCATATCAAAAGATGAGATCTCAAGCTGAATCCTGTATTAAACAAAGGTCTTGTCAAAACACATCTTCAGACAAAAGTACAATAGGAGAAAAGTACTGGAAAAATAAGACTATGAGCACATGCTCTAATGACGGATGTGAGCAATTTTGAACTTCTCTTTTAAAAGTTATCTTAACCCAACTTGAAATTAAAGTCTGGTATCAGATACTTACTCAGTATAGAGAACTTGCACCGGAGAGGCTGTTACATATGTATTCTTCACTGGTATGCGAGAAATTTTGGCGATATGGATACGAAAATCAGTCTCCACAAATATGGTACTTTGATGTTCTATGAATTGAATATTTTTAGATACAGAGTCTTAATTTTCATCATTCGAATGAGCAGATTCAGAGCTATTCCCATGAGCAGAAATGCTATATTGAAAAGATCTCTATCCATTTCTATAAGAGGTTTGAGGAAGCCATCATATTGATGGAACATTGATGAGAAAATTAAACTCAAAATTAGATATCCAAATGGATGTAAACTCAAACATATTTATCAGGAATTGAAACTTAAATCAGATATAATTCGGGCTGCAAAAGAGAAAAACTCCTCCATGACAGAGTTCGCCAAGTTTTTTTTCAAAGATATCTGATGTACGGTGACGATCGCCTCTTGTTTTCTTAGATGGTTCCGGATATGCAGCTAATCAACTTGACTTCCCATATTGCATGGCACGCGACCCGAACACGGGTACCCTTTACATTTCCGACAGCGGTAACAACCGTGTTATGCAATATCTATATAATGCATCGAGCGGTAATGTGGTCGCTGGCGGGAATGGATATGGATTTGCCACCAACCAATTGGCTTATCCATCTGGCATCTTCTTCGATTCATCATCAAACAGCCTTGTAATTGCCAACTATCTTGGTCACAATATAGTTCGTTGGACATTAGGAGCTAGCAGTTGGACTTTAATTGCTGGTAGTACAAATGGAGTAGCTGGTAGTTCATCTATAATGCTGAACAGCCCCATGGGTTTGACACTAGATTCCTCCGGTAATATCTATGTAGCTGATTTATTGAACCACCGTATACAATTCTTCACTAATCAATCGAATGGTACCACAATTGCAGGCACTACCGGGGTAGCAGGAAGCAGTGCAACTCAATTGAATACTCCTCAAGGAGTAGCAGTAGACTCACAGCTAAATCTCTATGTAGCCGATTGGGGAAATAATCGAGTACAAAAGTTTTCACGCAGCTAAAGAACAATTCTTTTTTCACTGTTTGGACGAAAGTGAATGGGATTTCAAAAGACATCTTTAATTCATTTTTATTAACGATTTACTTGAAATTTCATTGGCCATTGTACCTTCTATCAGCAAAATTGATTTAGCTTTCCTTTGAATATCCCACTTTATTCTCCTTGTGAATCATTTCTGACAGTAAAATAAAACACAATGATTAACATACGCACTCCAGCCAAATAGGGATATCTAGCTACTAACTTCTTTCCAGAGCTTGAATTCATATATGATCATCGAAGGTTCAATCCAATTTAATCGAAGCAGGACAAAGCGTTCTTAGTTCTTAAAAACTTTCCTTAAAAGCCAATCTATATGAGCTACCGTCGACTTTGCTCGGTCGATAGGGTCTGAGTGTGGATGTGGAGTAGATTTCATCTCTCAACACACACTCCTACTCGCAGACATCATAGAGGCATCATGCTTAGAGAAGTGATAAAAAATAATAGTCTGTATGATGAAAAAATTCCCAAGCTCGTGTTGTTATAAAGAGTGAAGCGATCTAAATAAAAAAACATAAAGTCTACTGGTGTGTTGTGGAATGAAGGTGAAAAGGGCATGGGTGAGCCCTATAAAACCATACTCACATCCACACCCTACTTTGACAGAAAAAGAATATCAACAAAATATCAGTTAATTAATACAGTGGCGTGACGAACTGAAATCGTGTTGCCTATGATCGTTGGTATGATACTATCTTGTGTCATCTTTACATCTATAGTCGTGTGCTTCTTACATTTACATTTCATTATATAGCAAAGAGAGAGAAAGAGATCACGCATAAGAAGAGAGAAATGGAGAGCGGACATTTGTGCAATACAACACTGAGAGATAGTTACAAGGTCAACCTTATCGATAAATTAAGATACCCACACCGTTCTCTATGTTTGACCAAAAACTCTATTTCGAATTATTCATAAGGAATAATAACCTAAAGTACCATGCATAGACTATCCAAGAAGTCCTTGACGATAACTGTTTTTGGAATAACTTGAGAATAAAAATGAATACCGACCTGTGGTTTTTACTATTGGAAAGAGCGATGTTAGGAGCATCTACCTATCTAAGGGTCATTAGGTCGAAGGGGTCTTTCATGATTTCTTTTAAACTAAATTTTTTTTCATCAGATCTCACGTGGATTTCAACTCAAATTATACAAAAGTATACTCAAAATTAACCAGTATTCATGATAAAATCCTGAGTGTTTCTTTCGATCTTTTCCTTTGACAACGCTTTCCATCAGTATAATTTTGGGGTATTGGTATCCTGTGTGAGTGTGGGTACTCTTCTCATCTGCATTCGACACCCACACCCCAATCTGCATTATTTCTTATTAAACTTTATCCAAGCACATTATCAATATTTTTAAATTTTACTTCGACTTAATAATCAATTGCTGAAAAGCAAAAGCTGAGAGTCACAGACTGATTTATATAATTTAAAGATAAAGGTTGATCTGTTTTCAATAGATTAATTTACACCCCACACACATACCCTCACACTCCTACCCTTTCATACTCTTTAATGGTACTTTTTCAAAAACACTACAATCTATCGATTGCAATGTAATCATAAATCAAATTTGTCATTCACATCTATCTATCATTAACATTTACTGAATATTTTATTAAGCAATATCGATTGAGAACAGTTTCTTGAAACATTGACTGAACTACTGAATGATGTCCGTTGCATGTTGTTCCATTTGCATTATTTGCCAGACGATTTCCGGAACCTTTTCGATAGCGGGAAAAAACTGGTCGACCAAACAAACAGCTTCATTTTTCATGACAAATGCAAGCGGTATTTACTTTTGAATGAAGGGTTTGATGATGTTTTTTCATCTTGTGCTTTCGCTACAGTTGGCATTGGAAAAAAACTTTGATGTTATAATTCACCTACTTGCGCATCAGTGAGTGATTCTAAGAAAAAAAAACTCTTTGTACATTCTGAAAGGAAAATATGCGACTGTACGTCTTTTTGGTTCTCGTTCTCTTCGAACAAAGACTGGTTCCATAGATTGTTTTTGATAAATAGTGCTTTTCTTTCAACATAATAGCTTAAAAGGAGTTATTTCGGAAGAGAGAAAATCGTGCTTTCAAACAACCATTGGGATATGTTTGTGAAATATCTCGTATGATTGGTTTTTTTCTTGGAACTGGGATAAAAAGAAAAATTAAGATCGCATTTCTCAGAAAATCAGTCATTAAAAGATATTGGCAGCAGATTGACATCTCAGAACTGACTGATTTTCTTTATATATAGTACATACAATAGTGAGTTTAGTATTTCCTATAATTTTCACGTCGATCTGATTACCTTTCTCTATACAAATGATCCAAGCACTGTTAGACTTTTCAATGTGACTTCGTTTTGTCTTGATGTGAATATGTGCGTCATTATTGATTGTAACTTCAAGGACATTCACACGCTAATTCTATCCACTACTACGAATGAGTTTTCAATCCTTTAATTTGTTTTAGATAGTATGGGAATATTGGCGCCTGCACACTTTGTTACGGAAACTCAAGATGGAAGTGTCGTTCTAAAGTGGAATCCTGTTGCAAGCGTAGCTATATACGAGATTCACATTAATTGCTCGGATAAAAACGAAACAAGTAGAGATCAAACAACATCAACCAATTTTCCAAAAAAATGGGTAGAAAAATGGTTTATGTTACTTAGTTTACGTAATTACAGTGTGCCATGATTTAAAGAGTTTGCAATCTGAAATTTTGACAAATAGTACCGAAAGAACAAGAATGTTCTTTCAATTTTTTGACATTCTGTGGAAAAAAAACCAGGTCAAATTAGCTTAGCATGGACAGCTGTATCCGGCAGCTCTTGTTTTCAAATTGAACAGTGTGATATCAGCAATAAGAATAAGTTTATCTGTATAAAAACTCTTAATGACAACAAAATATTGACATTTGAAGATCAAACTAATTGTGATTTATTTCGATGTTCTTGCAAAGGTCATTGCTATAAAATTTTAATATTTGGTGCACCAATGTTATCCGATGTATTCAACATAATTAGCAGAGTATTCTGCATGACAAAGTCAGATCTAGAACACTCATTTGAAACATTAAGAAATACAATATCTAATTATGAACGTACTGCAAAATTAGCAGCATTTTCTTATAAAGCTTCTCGTCTTCAAGAGCAAATGCAAATACTTGCATATACTTTAGGCATAGATGACATAGAACCAAATACAACAAGACAAGGCTCCACTCGTCATACTACTACATCATTAAATCAAATGCTTGTAAGTCAATGAGAATAAATCATATTTTTCATGAAACTCCTCTATATACTAATACATGACTGTACTTGGCAGATAAGTAATTTAGAAAGAAAACACTTTATCTACATAAAAGATATAAAACACTGCATTTCTAGTGCATATAAAAATATATACACTCCTTGTTTGGAAAGCCTCAGTTATGATGAGATGAAATTTCAAAAAAAAACAATAGAAGTTTTGTCAAGATTATATTATGTATAGTTATTTACAAATCTAACTAAAAGGTTAATAAGTTCATTTCAACTCACCGACAGTTATACATAAGCGAAAACACATAAAATATAAACTCAATATTGAAGACGTATTTGTATGCTAAAGATTTTATTTCCAGTGAAACTTGAGGGTGTGGGGTGTGGGTGTGGGTGGATGTGGATGTGGTATAGTTAGACACACACACCACTATCCAAACCTTCTAATTATATCAACACCCCGCACCCACATCCACACCCACACCTACCGACACCCACATCCACCCACACCCTCACCCACACCCTCACCTACACCCTCACCCACACTCACACCCACCCACACCCTCACCCACACTCACACCCAGGATTATGTGTCGCAAAACACGACACATTTTAACTTAGTGTGTAGTAACAATCCGAAATCAGCATTCGTCTGGGTGTGGGTGAGTGGGTAGGTTGTGGGTCTTCGTCTTTTGTTTACTTACACCTACACCTACCCACACCCACAATCGGTGTCCAGGTATTCTCCCATCCGTTAGGTGAGCATCGTTTTACCTGCACCAGATGCTCCATGAAGAGTGGTAACAATTGTCATTATCGACGAATTCAATAAACTTCACTTGTGTTGTGTCTCAAGACGAGCGCAAGGAAATAGAGAAGATAAGAATGCAGTAAACTGTATGTGTGTACAGTTTTCCGTTCTTTATTCAGGTAGATAAAGACAAGTACTCCATGCAATTGTAATGATGACAAAATGGGATTAAAATGCTTACAAAAAAATAACGATATGACACGGTTACCAATTGATGCCATACAATGATTGTCGGATGCTTGTGGAAAGTGATGACTCATCGATTGGGAAAATCTTTTTGTTGCAAAAGTTTTAAGCATTTCTAAGAAACCGTTTTAAAACACTATTCGATGGTTAATGAATGTTAAAGTCTTTACTGTGCGAAGTGAGCCTATTTCAGAGATCCATAGCAAAAATTACGATGTCAATTAGAGATGTCAGTTTCGTGTTTTGTTTCCGAGAACACATATTGGATCTCGTTCTTGAAAACGCAAACCAAATTGCGCGTTCCCGGATTCTTTAAAAGGAGACCCTGGGAACCCAGCATTATTGTTCTGGTGATCAATACTTGTCAACATGGAGTTGTTCGCTGCTTCTTTTTGAATACAAAGAACGTCTGAATTCTTTTTTAAGCAACGAAATTTGGGATAGAATTGAGCACATGTTCATTCTCAGCGTTTCGAGATTCATTCTAGGAGCCTATCCACGTAAATCACGATCGGCTCTCAGAAAAACTTGCTCAATCGCGATCCTCAGATTTAGCTCAATTTAAGACCATATAGAGACAAGCATTTATGAATTTTTTGCACAAACCGTTTTGAAAAATATTAAATCTTCGATTTTGAACGACTTTTTTAATAAAATTCATAAAGATTCACATTCTCAAAAACCAGAATTTTATGTATGCAATATCTCAGAAGTCACTTGACTGGTCGAGTTGAAATTTTGCTTGGATACATACGACTCTTAGTTCCATCAATAAAAAATATTCAGTTCCAACTGTTCTGTGTATGGTATTCTATGAATGTCAAAAAAACGTGAAAAAATCACTATTTTTGAGAAATTTGGAGCATTATATCTCACGATCAAGACAATATAGACGCGTGAAATTTTCATCGTAGGTACGACTCATGAAGATCTATTCTTTATTAGCTTTTGTTGAATGTGCACATCCGTATAAGTGTTCTTTTTTGCTTCAGTAAGTTTAAGTCTCTTTTTTTTGAATCATTCAAGATACAAGTGCGATTTTCGTGCGATTTGCCATGGTATAAGCGATTTATCTATTGTTGAGCACAGTGGACCACGTTGCTCAATAGCTCGTTTAATGGCTTCAACAAGCACATCGATCGAATGTTGAGTCCATTGAATATTGCCCGTTGTTGTATCGTGATCCAATTTCTCTTGTAGTTGACTGATTTTGATCACGGGTACATTCATTATTGCGTACCATTGTTCGAGGAATTCCAGAGCAGCAAGGATGTTTTGAACAAATATGCTAAACCAAACCATTAATCGTGTAAAGAAACGCATCGCTGCAGTTGTAGTCGGTGCAGTAAGTCTTGCGCGTAAATTTTTTTCTATGAGATTCCGTGGAACATCCATAATGATCGCTACACTCGTTGAGCGTGTTTCTTTTAAAAGAATTTCGGGCATATTCAATGGGACTGCAGTAGCTTTGTTGACCAAGCAGAATGTGTAAATATCGAGACAATTTCGATCTCGCCATATCCATCGACAGCGGTTGTTTCGTTCGCAATGAAACAAAGCCGAGATGTTGCATCGCCACAATTTTGATATCATATAACTACTGGCAAGACGCCAAGATCTACCAATGGTGAAGACGCCAATGAAGAGTACAACCATGGGCCAGACTGTATTCGTAATTAAATAACACACGACTATGAATACAATCAATGATAATGGAGAGAGTCGTTCGAGGATAAAATGCGCCAGTCGGTCCCTACAAACGATATCTGTTGTCTTTAGAAACCATTTCGTTTGCTTATCATCAGTGCTTGATGGTCTGAAAATATCATCGGGATTCTCCTCAAAGGAGAGACAATCACTACTCAGATATTTGCTCATCTTTTGTGTGAGCGTAGTCTTGCCCGCACCAGGTGCACCATGAAGAGCGACAACAATAGTCATGATCAACGAATGCAGCAAACTTTACTTGTGTGATGCCCAAACGCGAATAAAAGCAAATAGAGAAGAGAAGAGAGATAAAAAATGCAATAAAATATGTATGTACGGTTTCTCGATCCTTATTTAGATAGATAAAAGCAAGTATTACAGGCAAAAAATATGGATTGACATGCTCACGAAAACAAAATAAAAACAAAGATATAACACAGACACGAATTGATGTCATAAAATGATTTCGGGCACTTGTAAAACTGATTATTCATCGATCATAGGAATCTTTCTCTTGTCGTATTTTTTTAAACAGCTGAAAGAAAGCGTTTAAAGATATTAATCTGAGACCAATTTAAATCGTTATTTTTATTTTTTTGAAACATGTACACCGGCCTACCAAGCAAGACAAGAGAAATCCCTGTTGTCTTCGCCATGTTCCGCTTAATCTCTATGGTAATGCTCTGCTGTTCATTGGTGTTAAATTGAATCGTTCGAAAGAAGAGCCTTGCAAGATGAAAATGTGCGTTCGGTCAGGTAGCATGAAAGCGATCGGGTGTTGTTGTAAACATTTCAGGTGGCAACGTGTACAATCAATGGAAAATAGGGTTTGAGTGTGGGGTGTAGATGGAGTCTATAGGATTATTGATTTCAAACTGAAATTTACGCGAAAAAAAAACGAGCACCCTTTTCTTAAAAGACTAGAGGCAAGGGTTAGGGGGCTAAAAAAAGGCCACTGACTAGAGGTCTTGGGGACAGTACCAAATCCCGAAAAATTCCGTTTGTCCCATCCCACGGGACATTCGGGATTGTCCCGAATCTCTTAAATTCATCTATCAAAACACGTCATAAGTTTGAGGCCTCTAATTTCTAACAAATATTTTAATATTCAAAATAAATAACGTAATAGAGAAACGAAAGAAAAACTATTTTCAGATGCTTTCAAAGTTGATCGTTTCCATTTGTTTTCACCAGTTCTCGCAATATAACTGTAGCTTAAGCACATCGTCTCGTTTAATGAGCATATTCTACGCATCGATTAGTGTGTGAATAGGATGAGAATGTGTTTAAACAACAGTTAAATCCTTAAATAACTTATTTTTCTTACACTTCGGCTGCAAACAAGTAAATGTTCATTAATGTTTCAATATTTCACTTGATAAGTAGTAAATTAATAATTTCGCCTAGACTCACAGGTATTCCTTGATCTATATATTATTGCCAACCATATAAATACAAAGAAAGCAAAGGTTTGTCAAAAAAAATAATGGCCATGGATATTTTTGCAATAACTCAAGATTGCCAAGAGCTAGAGAGCTGCAGTTCTCATCAGTCGACTGTAGAGATGTCAGCGCATCTTTTTCTTCCTTATTGTGTCAGAGGAAATTATTTTTAAATCCATCATTTCTGCAAAACATTGTAAAAAAGGTATGAAAAAACGTCTTGGTTCCGATAAAAATTTCATTCTGATATGTAATTTATATGGAGGGGCTTCAGATCTATAGTTCTACATATAATTAGAATGACTATCTTTCATATCCTACGAATGAGCAAATATCATCATCGAATTCATTCCTCACAAAATATGTATTTTTCTAGATTTCTGAGCAAATTTTCTTTTTTTTTTGTCAAATTTTCATAGGAATGACAGGCAGTTCTCATGCATTTTTTGAAATTTTTTGCAGAAATGACTGGTTTAAAAATGATTTTGTCAGACACAATATTGGAGAAAAAGATGTGCTGGCGTATCCTTTTTCAATTGATGAGAACTGCAGCTCTCTAGCTCTTGTCTGTCTTGAGTCATTATAAAAATACCCACGAACATTCTTTTTTTGGACAAATATTAGTTCGTCTAATAATTATCTATATGGATTCAGCTTATGTATTGGTAGAATAGAAAAGACGTATCCTTCTTTCACAAAATAATATTTATATATTCATGTTAATTTACGGGACAAACGGGATTTTACGGGACTATTAAAAAAAATTCGGAACGGGAGACAAAAAGAAGTTGACCTGCAGTGCTCTACCACTGACACCAAGAAACGCTAGCAGTGTACATTTCAGCGATGTTCTAAGATACAGCTTCGTTACGGAACGCGTATGGGTATGGGTATGAGTGAGTGTGAGCCTGTGGGTGTGGGTGTCGGTGTGGATGGTGTGTGGATGGGTGTGATGGTGTGTGGATGGGTGTGGATGGTGTGTGTGTGGATGTGAATAATGTGTGTATGGATGTAGATATAGATTTGTTTTCGAAAACAGCATCCAAATCAATACCCACAACCAAACGCACACCCACATCCTCACCCACACTCACATCCACACTCACACCCTTGTTTTCTTGGTTTTTTGTAATATTACACTAAATTTCGTTAGAGTAAATTACAGTAAAAAAAAGAAAAGATTGACTCCTAAATTTTAACATTCATCATGCGGTTACGAGTCAAAACTTTATCATCATTTTTGATCTACATAATTAAATTAAAAGAAAAGGTAATGACATGATTTTAATTTTAATTTATTCTAGAATGACAATCCAGTATGGAGCAAATTCTATAATTCTAATATATTTGGATATTTTTGCTTGTTTATGTAAAAATCATGGTGTATGTAATTTTGAAGAAACAACTACAATATATAATCCATATGAATTAGCTTCACTTTTCTTGATAATATATTCTATGTTGAATATATTTTAGCTGCGCAAATAGTTGAAACATGCAATAAATATCAATTCAGCATTGTTTTCAATCCTGCTTCCAACTGTTTTAAAGAATTCTTTGCTTTCTCAAGAGAAATTAAATATTGTAAAAGCTGAGTTTTTCTGATGAGATAACAAGTGTTTTAGACTAAAAAAAAATAAAAATCCTCTTCCAAATCCTTTTCAAAGAGCATTCAAAAGAGCTTCTCTTTTTTTTGGAATTAAGATATTTCTGAATAAGTGAAACACCGTTTATCAACAATTAAAAAAATTGATCAAATCTATTGTAATTAATCGTAAAGACTTCGTCACAAAAATTAAGAAGAATTTTCATAGATAGTAGTCTTTGATTTCTTTCTGAAATAGTTTTTAGTGAATTTAGTTGAAGGAGAGCACGGCTTAAGTGAAAACCAACTAATTGAAATCAATCAAGTTAGTCTTTTAAAAAGAATGCTTTTCTTGATTATTAAAATAGAATAGTTCTCAATAAATTCAACTATTTTATGCATTCTTATTCAATCGAGTTATTGAAGTAATTTATTGATGACAAATTGAATCTATCGAGTCATCATTTTGCGTTTTCTCAAAAAGCCATTTATCCGTTGTACTTGAAAAGATAATATCGACAAGTTCACTCTTTATTCATTCGAATTGTTCAAAGAAGAAGAAAGATATTTCTTCAATTGAAATCTTGTTAATGATACTTTCAAAATTTCTTCCGTCAAGTTTGTTTTTGGATGTTCATTTGATCTGAAAGTGATTTTCAGAAGGTCAATATCTTCAAATATGATCGAACAAGGATGTTAGTGTCTTTCTAGAGCATGCATGTTCTCACGTCAGTTATAACTCGAATTCACATCTGACATCCACACCCTGTGAGTATGGTTGTCGTCTTCAGCCACAATCACTACCAGACTTTTATTTGCATTGATCTTATTATTGACACTCTAGATTCTGTGATATATTCTGATCATGATCTTTGTGTTTGACTATAGAAGGTAGAGCATTCCACCTATCACAGCAATTCTAATACATCAGAAATACTAGAACAAGTAAAGTCGATAGTGGCCCAAATGTCTGAATTACACGAGCTTACGACACCGTCTCATTTTCTATTTGACCTGTGGAACATTGTGACATGAAACTGGTCAATAGCATACAAAATTAGTTTGATATCCGTTATATATTTTACTTTTATTACATCTTATGCTGGTTATATAATTAGACAGTTTGAGGGATTTCGCTGTGAGTTAGGGACCATATTTAAAGAAGACCTCCAACATCACTCATTCCACATCTGAAAAATTCAGCAAAGATTTCCAGTATTGTATTACTGTCACAATTTAACACTTCTGAATACTATAGTAGCGTAAAATAATAATCAATATTGGTGAACACGTTAATCAATAACTTCCATGATAAACAAACCCAGTCAAGTTCTTTAATAGTCGACATGGAGGAATCAAAGGAAATTGAATTTCACAGTAAAGAGAACAATAAGAATTTGACGCGTGGGATATGGGTGCCGTTGTTATTTCCGGATAAAAGTCTTTGATCCAATCCGATCCACCACCATTCACATTATAGTCGTAAAATTGATTTTTAAAATTTTTTTGTATTGGAACATAATTTGTTCAATCCTTGATCCATACATAAAAATTAGCATCATCCGGAGTATATATACAATCAGAAGCATCAATTTCATATACACATTGTTGAAACCAAGTTATTGCAGACTTATATGACTTATCACGCCAAGTTGGATAATATATGTGTAAACTGCGTAATTGTTGCATATTTTGGAAAATCGGTACAGTTGTTTTAGGAAATGATAGTAGATTTAATGATAAATGTTTGCATGCGTCACAAAATATGCTAACAATATAAGAAAGAAGCTCAGGATATGTCAGCCTTTGACAACCACTCGTGTCGGATAAACAATCAGATAAAGTTAATGATTGAATTCGTTTATATAATTGATCACAAACATTCTTATTTTTAAAGAAATCTGTTACTTGTATTAAAACAAAAGTCGATAATGTTAATGATTCAAGTTGAGTTGCATATTCAAGAAAATCTGCAAAATCCTTTGTTGACATACATATATGTTGTTGAAATTCTAGATGACGTAAATTTTTCAACGAAGAATACCAACTTCTAGGAAGGTTGTCTTTGAGAACTAATCGAACAATGTTGGATAGAAGAAAGTCTTGATGTGGCATTTCACATTTTGTGCTAAATAATAGTATTTGAATTCTGTCATACGAATCATAATTTCTTCTATCAATATTATCTGTAACTAAAGTTGATATGCTCATATCGCATGACTTGATATCGATTCGCATTTGTGAAAACGCAAAAGGCAATGTATAAATAACGCCCTCTTCAGAACTTTGATGATTGAAATCACATCGAACAAACCAACGCTTCTCTTCTACATAGAAGGATGAAGAAAACAAAGCCATTGCTTGATTTATATCATATGATTCATTAGGATAGCGAACAAAATGAAAACAAAATTGAAACGTTTTGAGTAAAGGTAATGATAATTTTATAAATTCTTCCCATCTTCTACCATCTGGCAATGGACTATAATATCCTTGATCATATAAAGCAAGTTTAGTTAATTGTGACATTTCTTGAAGTGAAATTCGTAAATTATTTCCATCTCTTGTTTCATTATAGAATAATTTCAACTGTTGTAATATTTTCGGTAATGTTAAAATATAATTATAATGACACATATAATTTATATTATATTCAAGAATTTTCAAAGAGTAAAATTTCTGAAATAAAAAATAATATCTTAATTTAATTCTAAAGAATTTTTCATCTTTTTAATTATACCTTTATCCAACCATTGCATTTACATCCAGTAAAAACAAGTCGTTTTAATGATGGCAGTTCAAATGATTGAATATTTTCTCCACAAATTGTTGTAACTGTTAATGAGTAGGGGGTGACCCTTTATCTTTACTATCCTTTATAATAAAGGATAAAGATAAATGAATCCTTTACTTTTAAAAAATAAAAGTAAATAGATCCTTTATTTTTTAAAATAAAGATAAATGATCATTTATTTTAAAAAAATAAAGTTAACTAAATAAAGGAATACTTTATTTTAAAAAAAATAAATGTAAATGAATCATTTATCTTTAAAAAATTAAAGAAAAACAAAGGAATAAATGATACTTTTTACGAAAATAGATAATGTGATTAGAAAAGCACTGGAATCATGGAGTAAATCTACAGAGAGATTATTACTGTTTACAAATGTAATTTGATTTAAAATACACTTTCTAAGATGAAATTCAAAAATAACAGAAATGAAAGCTTTATTTCTGATTTCCTAGGGTAGTAAGAAAGAGGAAAATCTTCTTCTAACATTCTAATGTTTTCAAAGGCTTTCTATGTATTCAGACATCTTTGTGAACCTTTATTTCAGAATCATAGAATGTCTCCATTGGATCGATTATCACTCAGTCTTCATATTTCTAAATAGAAGTTATTTATTATTTTGAATTTTACTTTTATTTATCTACAACCTTGCCCAATATACTCTATATTTTACGACCTTTCTCAAAACAGTTGGTCAATAGAAGTTGTGGAACGTTTTTTTTCTTCAAATAAGTATCAAATAGGTGGTTTTATTTTCACAAGCAGTAATTCTTACGTCAAGTACTGGAAAAAATCTTGATGATGCACACACAGACATAAGAAAGGAAGACANCTTTTATTTTTCATTTTTACATCTTTTTGTGTTAGAATTCATTTTTCGACATTTTCCCCTTTCGATATTTTTTCTTTCGACATTTTTCCGTTTCGACATTTTTCCTTTCGACATTTTTCCCTTTCGACATTTTTCCCTTTCGACATTTTTCTTTCGACATTTTTACCCTATTTTTTTTTCTTTCGACATTTTTCCTTTCGACATTTCTACTGCACACCGAATGATTTATAGACATGATAATTATTGTTTTAATCTATAATTATTGTTCTTGTCTGTGTTATTTTATTCTCTGTTTCATTACTATTTAGTTGCAGTAATAGAGATAAAAATAAAAAATTGTGTATTGCTATTGTACTTTACTATCATCCCTATCATTTCTATCTGAATATCCGTCAGAAAAGCTGATCTTAGCACTATTACCAGAACATTCCTGTCGTTGCTGCTAATTATTTAAGCCGCTTACATTTGTATATAGTATGAAAAGTAGAATCGATCATTTTCAGATTTGTGACAATAACTGTTCGTACCCCGATAAAATCTTGTTTTTGTTCGTCGTGGCGGCACGAGAAACAGTGCGTGCTGGACAGTATTTCAATATATGGCTATTGACGAATAAATGATGTAAATCTTCCATACTAACATTTTCAGGTATTCTAGTGACCATAATTTTCCTATTGGTATAGTCTGGATGATGATTGGAGAAATTTGAACAGTTTGTGGCATATTCAACACGACATTCAGGACCAAGAACATGGAAGTTAATGGGTCGTTGAAGATTACATCGAGCTTCGTGGTACGTACGGTGAAGAACAAATGCATATCTATTGCAGAACAAGTAGTTCAACTATGCAATAAATAAAGTATTTGTAGCATACTTTAGATGTGGTGTAGTACGACATTGCTTCATAGTTACTTTGATACAACCAGTAAAATGCTCACATATATCACTTTTACTAGCATCACTTTTTATACCCGATACGAAAAGTGTTTTACCATTCTTATTTTGATGCAATATTCGCCTACTCTTGGCATGGCTTCGGTGGTTAATAGATGTTGTATGCATATTTGATGTGATTATTGATAAATCACTCTAAACAAGTTTTAGGGTCGATTTGATCAAACAGTATTATATCTATAGTTTCTGCATGATTTAGAACATTTCAAGTATGGTGATATATCCTAGAAAATTCTTGCATTTGTGAACATTTATTATCATCATTTTTCGAAAATACATCAAGAAGTCCTCTTCAAAAACAACTTAAGTTCAGGTACCTCTGAATTGCATGAAAGTACAGGAAACGTTGTCAGAAAATTGTAGTTCAGTTAGAAACTAAAAAAAGATTTATTTAAAACTTACATCAACAGTCATTCCCATGAACTTCAACTTGATAAGTCAAACTTTTCCGTGGCTACACTATTTTACAATATAGACACTAGTGAACTTTAGGTGTGCCAATGAGAGACACGGGATCACACAGTTTTGGTTGAGTTAAATTTAAAATCATGAATTGATTTAAAAGAATTGAGTGTATCGTTGTCCTGGAGCCGTGCATAAATTACCTCTGAAGATTTCAGATCTAATAGCATTCTTCAAGATGAATAGCAATCATGCGATACGAATTACAAAGAAACAACAAGAAAACTTGGCAAAAGTGAAGTGCAGGCTGTAGATTTTACGTTGTATTGGTTTAGGTATCGGGTAATGTTGATAATTAGACACATTCGATACACATTTTTACATGACTGATAAAGAGTTTCATGGCCGTAAAGTGATCGATTTTTGCTTTTTCTTCCCATCTCGTTCTGAATAGAATGCGATTCGAAAAAAATCCTTTCAATAATCTCTGTTAACACACGTAACTTAGCACACTATCTAGCTATCTCAACCCTATATTAGCAGAATCCCGATGACTTCGTTCTTGAACTTTGACGGATCAAGTACATAATTTCTAATTCAATTATTGGATATTATATCATAGTCGATACTAATTATTGCAATATTATCTCCTTTGTTTTCAATCGTATTTCTTAAAGAATGGATGAAAAAAGTTTGTTCTGTTGCCTGTCGTCTTTGGAATTTTGTAGTCGCGGATGTTTCTATTGATGTTGAAGAATTACCGCTGAATATAAAGTCAAGAATAGGAAACCGAATTCTGAAAGCGTCAGAGGTAGTCTTTGCATCATTCTAGGACAACCATATGCTCAAATTTTTCAAATCAATGTATGATTGAAAATTATGAACCAAAAAAATGGCACTTGAACGAGATATTCACCAAATACGAGCAAAAAATAGCTCATTTGACAACTTAAGCTTTCTATATTCGTATATTCTATATATTTAGTTTTTTCCTTTAAATTCCTACTTTTTTAGCAAAGGAAAATGACGACAAAATTACTAATGCAAAATGCTTCCAGAACATTTTTAGAAAAAGAGGGAAGTTTCTCCCGCTTTTTCATGAATGTTTTAGTCTGTTGAATTTGCCATTGCTTGGCCTCGTTTGAAAAGAAGAACTCTGTCATACCTTATATTTCGGCATATCCTTGCAAATAAAGAGAAGACTAAATATATAGAATATAGGAACAGAGAGAGTTGTCTTTAATACATGATAGTTCAATTTCTTTTATGATTATTTTAACACGCTAAGTCACTGAATATCTCAAACTTCATTATGCCCTTAAAATTCACCTTTATGTTTTTCCAAAAAGGGTACATAATTCACGAAATTCAAAATATTAGCTTGGATAGACTTTATAGATTCATTCCAACATAGATCGGAACAGAAAGGTAGAGCTCAAATTGAGCTGATTCTTTTCAGTTTGCGCTCGATGATAAGTGCTGTACAGGACTAAGAATTAAACCTAGTCTCTTCACTATCAAAGCAACATATTAACTATTTCATTTATCGTCTGATGTCATGTTCTGTATGACTAGACATGCACCAAACCTGGGAAGGTATCGGCCTTCCTGAGTTCGGATTCCCGGGTTCGGCCATTTCCGGGTTTCGGTCATTACGAGTACCCTTAGTTCCTGAAGTCTAACTATTGGGGTTGCCCTTGAACCATCAAGTCCTACTATTGAGAAGTATCCTTGGATTCTCAAGTTCCACTATTTGAGGAGGGGAGATCCTCTAATGTTTCGGAGGTTTTAGCAAGGGTGAAAGGCAATCCTGAAAGCTTCGGCGAAATGCAGCTGCCGCTGATCACTGTAATATTCGACCTGAGTAGCACTTTCTGTTCGAATTTAGTAGCAGCTCATCATCTTAAGGAATGGAATGGTTCTAATTCAGGGAAGAAGGCTGATGCGCAAGAATATTTCGAGACCCGAGGAAAATCTCTACAGGGAGACGTCCGGAGGCAGCAATATACCTAAGATTAAAATTTGAGCTCCCACAGGTACTTCTAGTAGGAAGACTTGAGGATCCAAGGATACTCCTGTATAGTAGCACTTGAGGATCAAAGGTACCCACGGTTTTAGTACTTGAAGGCCCAAGGGTGATATCCCCAACAGTAGTACTTGATGACCCAAGGATAACCCCCAATGACCGAACCCTGGAAATGATCAAACCCCTGGAACGATCGAACCCCAGGAAGTTCGGACTCGGTGCATATCTATGTATGGTGTATACAAGAAACATCACTGTTACCCGAGCCAGACGATAGATACTGATCTGCAATATCAATACAATGAAAAAAATCACTTACCGACACCTAGCATTTGCAGTTCTTGTACATTTGAAATATATATGTTTCTCTTCGTTTAGCTGTTTTCTTTCTCCTTCTATTTCTTGTGAAAAATAATCACAAGTATCATCATTAGACTCGCAAAAAAAACTGCTGGTCTATAAATCAGTTCTTTTTCGAGAAACGATCCCAGCAACCAATTCAAGTTTTAAGGGGACCTCCTCCCCGTTCCCCTACTCAAAATTTTCACATTTTTCGGTTCTTCATTTTTTTTTTGTGATTAGTATATAGATTTAAATAGTCTCTATCCATCGGGCTTAATTCGAGAACTGAAAACCTATATCTTTTATATAAAAAACTCCAAAAATATCACAAAATAGGTTGAAAGAATCTAAACCCACAAATTTTTTTTGGCGTTTTTCTCAAAACGAAACCTAGAAAGGTTCTGATTTTTGCGACGAAGTCCGAACAATGTAAGGGTTTTTGGTCAAATAAGGAAAGCTTTGAAGATGCTTTTTCCACCACTCACAATCATTGTGAGGTATGTTGGTTTTTTTGCAGAACCTTTTTTTCAAACTTTCTATTTTCGACAAAAAGTAGTTCGATATAACATCTTAGTGTTGTAGGATGCAGAAGCTTATTACTAGAATATTGAATCAAATGGAAACATCATTCTAATGAACTACTTTTTTCAAAATAAAAAAAAAGGAATATTTACGAAATCCTAAACGGTTTCGATTTTGTTGCCAAATTCGGAACTATGTGTGGGCTTTGTATGGTAGCATTTTTTTTTCAGCGCCCAGCATACTTGCTTCTAGTTATTGATGGCACACAGACTTAAGACCTCTTGTTGATTATGAAGTCTTCCTACTAAAAAGTTCATGTAATCAATAGATATTAATGTATTCGTAAGCCTTCTCACTATTTTGGAGTAAGAGCGATATTGAATGTGTGAATCTAAAACCATATCTATATTTACTCCGAATTCTTGTATAAATTTATAAACCACCATGCATTCAACTATATTTAATGTAGTAGTATCCAAGGTTCTTATGCGATATAATTGCATTCACCTAAGCACTGGCTTTTAATAGTAGCTTACCTTATTAATGTTTTGATCTGCATCTCTGCGCGTTGATGCATCGCTACTCACATTGGAAGCTGGTATATCCATAAGATCTTCAAACATGAAGGCACACTCATCTTCACCACAGTTATTTGCAACAGTCTGCTGAATGTCCATAGGTGTATTAGTACTTTGATCAAGCTGATTTGTTCCCGAGTTTAATTGAAAAAGATGTTCACTCGAAATGGAGTTGATAAAATTAAATAATGATGTTTCCCAATTCGGTGTACTTCCAAATGTACCTTCTCTAAAACAATAAATGGCAAACAATTATCATTAACATCGTTTAGATAATTCTATAAATAGTATAACTGGCATTTTGATCTCGTGTACAAATAAGAATAAGTATGGGTGAATCCATGGGAAACGTACCACTTTATACATGACTTTCTCAGAATCGACTAAAACTTTCATGGTTTGTAGACCTCGATGAGCTGATCATTTTGGTAATAAATTATTAAATGTTTGAATATAGACTCAGGTTGAAATAAGCAAAATACGATTTTCGAAATTTCGGAAAAATCATAGGCAAAATGAAAAGTTCTGGTTTTTGTGCGAAGATTTTCTTTTTAATTTTACGACCAAAAGAAAACATCCTATATATATACTGATAGCCTGCGTTCAGCTCTATCGAACCACCTATGAGCCAAGTCGTTGAGCTTCAAAAAAGTGAAACTTTTAATGGAAGTCCAATAATTTCACTACTACGCAAACTTTGTCTTCGAATAAAAAATCTCTTCCAAATTTGGGTGAAGGGTGACATACTATGTTTTGTAGAGCGCCGCTCGCTCTATTTTCTGGTATATAGGGCTGCTTAGCCGCTTTCCATTTTCGCTCCTTACAGAGTCAAGACACTTATCTATTAGCCTTTTTAACAGTTCTGAGTTCATATTTCGGAAATTTTTCAGTGAAATACTCGATGGATTATTCTGAAAATTTAAATCTAGATAGATGTCAACTAGTAGGATAAAAGTCGTGCGAAATTTTACAAACTATCATATTATCTTTCACATTCTCTTATAATAGTAAAATGTCAAAACCATTGTTTGAACAGTTCAACGGTCAAAAGAGAGAGGGGCGTATTAGAAGCCAGTTCGACCGATTTGGAGGTTTTTTGTCCAACCCTATTGAATCTTATACTAATACTAGCAGCATGTTGAAACAAACATTTCGACACTATCTTCGTGGGGTTTTGACCGAACTTTTGGAACAAAAAGCCATTAACGAAGCAGCTCACTTTTCGATCATTTGTCCAATAACCTACTCGATTAGGGTCAACTTATTGTTAGAGTAAATTCAAAGAAAAGATACCTGTACAAATTCAGTATTTGATAGTGTTTTAATAGGATTTCAATCCTATATATGATTAATCAGTGATTATTTGATTCAATGGGGAGGAACCTCGTATACTGTTAGACACTGTTGATATAGGTCCTATATTTATGATCAACTCTTATTTTTCAACAAATATTTTATCATAGAAATTCAAATGAGAAAAATTCTAGCA